GAAAACGGGCTCGCTGCATCTACATCGTCTACACGAAAGCCATATCCACGTCAAAAGGGGAGAAATGTGCGGTTGGACGGGGAAGCTCGAGCATGTGAGTCTGAACCAATGAGAGAAGCGAATTGAGGAATGACGTCAATGTATGGAGATATAGAGCATGTAGGGCGGAATCGGTGGAATATACCCGCCATGTCGTGGGGTTTGGTGGGTTCGGTGAGTCCAGTTGCTACCGTTTCTGTCGTTTCGGTTGAAAACCTTGAAAAGGAATGAAATTGTCTCGTGAGGAGGCGCTATCTGTTGGTGGAATCAGTCATCACAGGACAAAAGCAATAGATATTTCGAGGCAAAACACCCATAAGCCGAGTTGTGTATAGACCCGGACGAGAGGCCGTAGGGCTCTCACCCGTTTTTTGTTGTGTGTCGTGTGTGGTACATAAAACTCTACCAAGTAGTGGAGAAAAAAAAAAGAACGATAAAAAAACTGACAGGATGATGGTGGCGAGTGCCTCCGGATGTCGTTTCTTCCTGAGATGCGTCGCATAATTACACGATACATATTTTTACGTCGAGGAGAAGCGGTCAGCTGTGAAGTGAAGGAACAAGTGAGTGGAGTCCAAAAACAGTGGTGATAGTTTCTTTTTTTTTATTATTTTATGATTTTTGGATGATCCTTTGAGTGCATTACGACTCACCATGCTGAGCGTCTCTCTTTTATTTTTCGTTATTTATTATAAATATTATTAATCCGCGACAATCTAGAGTAGAGTCGAATTATCGAGGAGTAAACTGTAATAATTGGTTGTGGAGTAATACAGTGGTGCTTGTGAAACGTCAAGTGATACTACTCTTAAATTCATATCGGAGTTTGTGTTTTTATTTATTATTTTTTTACATCGTTAATCGGAGGTGAATATCATTGGAGTGAAAAGTGAGTGCGTGATTGGCCTTGGATTTTTTTTATAAAATCGTGTGCTAGCTGTCAACGATTTTTTAGTGATTCCGGATGCAACAATAGGATTGATAGGAAGATAGTGTTGGGGAATATGGTTACGATGCCAAGTGATACGTGCGGATACGTCCTTTTCCTCCTGCTTCTCGTGCCGTACATCGAGAGTGGTAAGTGGTTTATCATCATTATCTCTGAATATCTCTTGCATCCATGTCCTCCCTTGCATCCGCATCTCTCCCAGTATCATTCTCGTGGTTAACAAATAATTCATTGTTTCACCTTAATGCTGAGTTGAGAGCTAGAGTGTCACACGTGATAAACATATGATGCGTTGAAGCACGTTCGCCAGTTGCCACTGGTGAATCATTCGAGAGGCTAGTAACCAACATCTCGCA